GCTGACAGTGGTGCAGCAACAGCTGACCATGGTGCAGAAACAGCTGACAGTGGTGCAGCAACATCTGACAGTGGTGCAGCAGCAGCTGACAGTTGTGCAGCAACAGCTGACCATGGTGCAGCAACAGCTGACTGTGGTGCAGCAACATCTGACAGTGGTGCAGCAGCAGGTGACCGTGGTGCAGCAACAGCTGATGGTGGTGCAGCAGCAGGTGACTGGTGCAGCAACAGCTGACTGTGGTGCAGCAACACCTGACTGTGGTGCAGCAACTGCTGATGGTGGTGCAGCAGCAGCTGACTATGGTTCAGCAACACCTGACTGTGGTGCAGCTACAGCTGATCATGGTGCAGCAACAGCTGACAGTGGTGCAGCAGCAGGTGACTGGTGCAGCAACAGCTGACCATGGTGCAGCAACACCTGACTCTGGTATGATAGTATTTCTCACCCTTTTTACCACAGGGTTGGCACTAGAAGCTTTCTTGGGGCCCATGGTGACTTATTTTGCAGGTACAGTCACTTAAAACGCTGTGATAATATGAAATGTTCTGATTGTATGAGTGGATGCGACCGCACTGGCTGGCTTGTAAACACTGGCACCCACGGGACAACTGAGGCACGCTCAGGCCACACGTGGACGCGTCTTGAACGAATTGTGTAGGGCGAGATTTTTAGCGTTAGCCGAGTGAAAATTTTTGCATTAAAATGTATCGTTAGCTGGGTTTGACGTTAGCTGATGCCATTGTTAGCTGAGGGTCCACTGTATAGGCCTTGTGGTTTAGTGCTTCTTTTTGATTATAATAATAATAATTGAGGTTGTAGTACATGACAGCTGCAGGTTTTAGAATGGGTTCATTGGTCTCTCTATTGTGTCTGCCAGTGTGTGCCATTTCGTTTCAGTGAACTGATGTCAACAATGTGACATCACGTTTGTCATGCCACCGAAATGCCATGATGTCACTGGCAGCAAAGGCTTGCACCTCACCTCTGCAAGTCCCAGTGTCGAACCTTGGCATATGTTTACGAGTACCATGCACTGTGCCACACACGTTTGTCAGGTTCACTCGCAAGAAATCACTGAGTATGGGGATTGTGTAGCAGTTTATTTCTGTTTTTATCAAACCGGCCATATCCCACTGAGGCAGGGTGGTCCAAAAAGAAAAACGAAAGTTTCTCTTTTTAAATTTAGTAATTTATAAAGGAGATGGGGTTACTAGCCCCCTTGCTCCCGGCATTTTAGTTGCCTCTTACAACACGCATGGCTTACGGAGGAAGAATTCTGTTCCACTTCCCCATGGAGATAAGAGGAAATAAACAAGAACAAGAACTAGAAAGAAATTGCAGAAAACCCAGAGGGGTGTGTCTGTGTATATATATATGCTTGTACATTTATGTGTAGTGTGACCTAAGTGTAAGTAGAAGTAGCAAAACCTACCTGAAATCTTGCATGTTTAAGAGACAGAAAAAATGACACCAGCAATCCTCCTATCATGTAAAACAATTACAGGCTTTTGTTTTATACTCACTTGGCAGGACAATAGTATACCTCCTTGGGCAGTTGCTGTCTACCAACCTACTACCTAGGTGTGTACCAGTTATCAGTATATATGTCCCTTACCAAGATATGGTTCCATCATTGTTCTAACCACATCACCAGAGATACCCAATAACTTCCTGGTATCTCTCAATGTATTACTACCAGTGTACACAATGAGATCCAAAACAAGACAACTTTTGCAATCGCACAGTACAAATAACTTTATACCAAAGCTTTTCCTCGCTTGGTATGTATTGCTTACCATACCCCGGCCGGGATTGAACCCGCAGTCAGAAAGTCTCAAAACTCCAGCCCGTCGCGTTAGCCACTAGACCAGCTAGCCACAATAAGATTCGTCCAACTAGGTATATTTCTACACCATAGGAAGGTTAGCACAGGCACCACTGTGACCACAAATGCAAGTTTTTACAGACGAATCTCCAGCTAGCGTGGCCGTGATGAACTCTAGCTCAACTCCCTTCACTGCTGTCAACATGACTCACGAAATCGTAATGACACGATTGCAAACAAACCATACCCCGGCCGGGATTGAACCCGCAGTCAGAGAGTCTCAAAACTCCAGCCCGTCGCGTTGGCCACTAGACCACCTAGCCACAATAAGATTCGTCCAACTAGGTATATTTCTACACCATAGGAAGGTTAGCACAGGCACCACTGTGACCACAAATGCAATTTTTTACAGACGAATCTCCAGCTAGCGTGGCCTTGATGAACTCTAGCTCAACTCCCTTCATTGCCGTCAACATGACTCACGAAATCGTAATGACACGATTGCAAACAAACCATACCCCGGCCGGGATTGAACCCGCAGTCAGAGAGTCTCAAAACTCCAGCCCTTTGCGAGTCATGTTGACGGCAGTGAAGGGACTTGAGCTAGAGTTCGTCACGGCCACGCTAGCTGGAGATTCGTCTGTAAAAACTTGCATTTGTGGTCACAGTGGTGCCTGTGCTAACCTTCCTATGGTGTAGAAATATACCTAGTTGGACGAATCTTATTGTGGCTAGCTGGTCTAGTGGCTAACCTGACGGGCTGGAGTTTTGAGACTCTCTGACTGTGGGTTCAATCCCGACCGGGGTATGGTTTGTTTGCAATCGTGTCATTATGATTTCGTGAGTTATGTATTGCTTGAATGAGAGTCTTCCTTTGAATTAAATAAAAAAACTCATCAATAACAAACTTCCTGAATGGATATAAATACATGCAACACTTTTGTTTCAGGTACATAAACACATTTCTGATCTTATATAACCTGTCGCTTCTGTCAGGCTTTGTTTTGCCTGAAAAGTGTAACATACGCAACAGTATCAGAAAACAATTCACACCTATAATGTCACTAAAACCTGGGGTTGAAGTCAGGCGTTCTGTTGCCCAGTATATGGTGACAGTGTGCTTATACACATGTGGCATAAGCATTATTATGGCAAAAAACAGGTACATCTCTTCCACAGTTGTGTTTTTCCACTGGGGTAGCTGTGATCTTGGTGAGAGAATTGTATTTGCCATGGTGTATTCATAGTATGTTTGTTTCCCTGGCAATAATGTCCATCAGGGGTTCGTCGAAGAATAACTGAAAGCATTCCAGTTCAGTAGCATTGTTCCGAAGTGTACACGATGGCCATATTCCACTTTGTGTTTCATCAAAGTCATTTGGACTTGGAACAAACTCGTCACCTTCCTGCCAATCCCAGATGCGGTCTGCTGGTTAGTTCTGGATATTGAAATGTGGTTGTGGTTGTGTAGGTTGTGGGAGTGTAGGGTTGGGTGAGGCTGGTTGTAGTTCTGCAGAGTCAGCAGTGTCGGTAGTAGTGTGGCCCGCTGCTGGTGCCACATGACTCATACCACCATCACTATCATCACCACCACCTGCCGCCTCACTCACATCATTCATACCCATCATAACAATATCATTATCTTCACTATCAGGTCGTGGTGTAGGGCCATGGGATGTCCTCCGAGATTTACTCCTTCCCCTTGGAACAGCATATGGCACACTACCAGACCACATGCTACGTCGTACATACTGCCACTTCACTGGGGAATATTCACCCTTGCTGTCACAACTAGAACTGCTTTCCATAGCTTTGAAATTGCTATCACTATCACTTTCATTGCTCACATCTGAGCCTTGTACACAGGTAAATAGTTTACTCTTTCATCCTGGTACAGGTGAACGTGAACAAGCCGGCCCAGCACCAGAGGTGGAAGGTCGTGGGTCATCTGGGTTTTCATTACTAATTACGTTATCCTGGGCACTGTTTTGGTCACACCCACTTGAAAACCATGGAATTCACTTTCACTGACACTTTAATTGCTGTTAGAGCTATCAGTTGGGAGTAAAAGACCTGCAATCCGCTGAGGTGTGAGGTACTTCTTACTGCTAGGCATGGCGAAAAATGGACTACCAAGATGGCGTTCCCACAATGCACCACTGAGTCTAAGATTTTTCTCACAGGGTGCACACCCACCACTCAGACCCATTCTCTCTCATGTAGGCCTACCAGCTTTCTCCCACTTGATTTGAAGCCGCTAGAATTTATGTGTATAAATATGTCAGAAACAGTGGCGCGTAAGATGTATATATATGACTGAAACAGTCAAAGGGTTAAAGTATGGTGTTATGAAAGGCATCCCTATACTGTTGACAGCCTAGTGACATTTGATAAGTGTGAACTGCTCCAGCTAACCCACCTGTATTTGTTATCACTGTTACACACAAACATGTCTTGTCTGTCTGTCTATCTGTCTGTCTGCCAGTCTGTGTCTGCTTATCTGTCTAGCTCTGCTTATCTGTCTTTCTGTCTGCCTGTGTGTGTGCCTGAAGCACGTATCAAACTCCTTGAAGAATTATGCTATGACAACTGTTGATAGCTCAGTGACATTTGATAAAAGGGCACTATGGGAACCCTGGCTTTATTTGTTTTCACTGAAATGCATAAACATCTTTGTCTGCCTGTCTATCTGTCTGTCTATCTTTGCCTGGAATTTTTGGGTTATCCTAGGTAATTTACACTATGTATAATAACTGTACATATGTGTATATGTGAGAGAGAGACAGAGATAGACAGATATATAGATAGAAATATAGACAGAGAGACAGCAAAGCCAGCTGTCCTCTTAAAAGGGGAGTGTTAATGTGACATAACATCAGTGAATCCCTGGTATTTGCCACGCTGTTTGCTCTAGCTGGTTCCCAGTTGCAATTGTGCTCCCTTGTCACTTAATGACAATTTTTAGTGAAACCATGTGACAACAAAGAAAAAAAAATTATTTTTTTAGTTGAGTATGTTGTGTTGGTAATTGTAAAATATTATACTATACTGACTCATGTTTCTATTGCAGAAGTATTTTGTGGAAGACTACCAGGTTGTGTCTTGCCAGACACTATATTTTCAGTACTTCAAGAAGCACCAGTGTAAGTGTCTTGAACAACAACTGATATTGCAGAAGTATTTTGTGGAAGACTACCAGGTTGTGTCTTGCCAGACACTATATTTTCAGTACTTCAAGAAGCACCAGTGTAAGTGTCTTGAACAACAACTGATATTGCAGAAGTATTTTGTGGAAGACTACCAGGTTGTGTCTTGCCTGACACTATAACTTCAGTACTTCAAGAAGCACCAGTGTGTCTTGAACAACAACTGATATTGCAGAAGTATTTTGTGGAAGACTACCAGGTTGTATCTTGCCTGACACTATCTTCAGTACTTCAAGAAAGGCAACAGCTGTTCTTCTTGTAAATTTTTAACTAGCTATTACTAATTAAATAATTATGCTTTTGCATGGCAGTTAATTCTTTGAGGGTCTGTTTTCTAGTTCTACGACTTTAAAGTCAGGGTCTAAGCTGTAGTACTACATCATAAACTCATCTTACTCAGATAAGCTGTGAGCAGTAAATTTGGGCCTATATATGAGAGAATGCATCTATGTGGTAAGTGTGCACCATGTAAAACAAATCCTGCTGCACACGGTGCATAATGAGAAAAAAACTGTGACTGTGTTTTTGGATTAAAACAGCAAACTTTCAGTGTATTTTCATATGTTTTTTTAGTAGCATTCACTGTTTCTTGGTGTCATTTGATAGAATAGAAGATGTATTAAAGAAATTATTTTGATGGATTTTAGTACTGAAAATAGCCTGAAATTGAGTTCAGAATAGTAGAAATGTTCTATTTTTGCCTATGTTAGTGGGTAAACAAATCACATCACGTGTCCAATACACATCAGCTGGTGGGTCTGATGTGTGTTGCGGAATGCGCTGATATTATTTATACAATTATTACAATATTGCATAAAAATCTTTTATTTTTTGGTGTGATTAAAAAATCAAAATGAAATTCATCTGTAAAGCCTGGGAATGTAACTAATAAATAGAAAAAATGTTAGTTTAGTGCCAGGAATGCCTGCATTGATTATTCTGGACCCTATTTTGAAATTGGAATATTTTGAACTTTGTGTGAAATGGGCCAAATTACCAATTTCCAATCACTTTATTGGGAAGTTGAAATAGTTGATCTGGGCAATTTTGTGCTCAGTAGATAAAATGGAACACATACTAGAAAATAGCTAAGAATTTGGTCTAGTGGAATAATTTAATTGGTCAAAAACAGGATTCAAAGTGGGCAAAATTGCCAATGCATAAATATCTCTGACACAGCAAAATTTGCAGGAGCACAACTTTGTCAGTTCTTTATCAAATTTTGTACTTTTTATTTTATTACTTTCAGAAAAAGATTCTCTACAATTTCATAAGAAAAAATAATATTTTTTAGATCCTGTGGGGAATTTTCAGATTTGGGGTCTAAACCCTCAAATGGTTAATAAAAGAATACAAGTTAGCAATTTCGTAATTAAAAATTTTTAGAAAAATCTGTTTAAACACAAGAGCAAATAATAATAATAATGTTTAGTGTATCTGTAAATTTCTAGTGCATATATTAATCTTTTAACACAAAATAAAAATTATGATAGTGTTTTAACACAATGTAAACTTTATTAGTGTTCATAAGTAGGAAAAGTTTTGCCTAAATAATTCTTAACATGGGAATATGTTCATAAGGAAGACCAGATGTTTAGTGTCCAAAATAGTTAAAAATCTTGAAATAGACATGTGAGTACATAAGGAAGATTAACTGTACCACTGTTGTATGACTAAAAATTTTTAAATGAAATACCTTCATTTAAAAAATATGGAAAAACGTAAAGAACATAAACCATATCAATGTTCTGAGTGTCTGAAATGTTTTAGTGTAAAAAGATATCTTGTCAAACATACGAGAGTACATACAGGAGATAAACTATATCAATGTTCAGAGTGTCTGAAATGTTTTAGTATAAAAAGCAGTCTTGTGTCACATATGAGAGTACATACAGGAGATAAACCATATCAGTGTTCAGAGTGTCTGAAAGGTTTTAGTATAAAAAGCAGTCTTGTGACACATATGAAAGTACATACAGGAGATAAGCCATATCACTGTTCTAAGTGTCTGAAATGTTTTAGTCAAAAAGGCAGTCTTGTGACACATATGAGAGTACATACAGGAGATAAACCATATCAATGTTCTGAGTGTCTGAAATGTTTTAGTATAAAATGCAATCTTGTGTTACATATGAGAGTACATACAGGAGATAAGCCATATCAATGTTCTGAGTGTCTGAAAGGTTTTAGTATAAAAAGCAGTCTTGTGTTACATATGAGAGTACATACAGGAGATAAACCATATCAATGTTCTGAGTGTCTGAAATGTTTTAGTGAAAAAAGTTATCTTGTGAAACATACGAGAGTACATACAGGAGATAAACCATATCAATGTTCAGAGTGTGTGAAATGTTTTAGTATAAAACGCAGTCTTGTGTTACATATGAGAGTACATACAGGAGATAAACCATATCAGTGTTCAGAGTGTCTGAAATGTTTTAGTATAAAAAGCAGTCTTGTGTTACATATGAGAGTACATACAGGAGATAAACCATATCATTGTTCAGAGTGTCTGAAATGTTTTAGTATAAAAAGCAGTCTTGTGTTACATATGAAAGTACATACAGGAGATAAGCCATATCAATGTTCCGAGTGTCTGAAATGTTTTAGTCAAAAAGGCAGTCTTGTGACACATATGAGAGTGCATACAGGAGATAAACCATATCAATGTTCTGAGTGTCTGAAATGTTTTAGTCAAAAATGCAATCTTGTGACACATGCGAGAGTACATACAAGAGATAAACCATATCAATGTTCTGAGTGTCTGAAATGTTTTAGTCAAAAAAGCAGTCATGTGAAACATATGAGAGTACATACAAGAGATAAACCATATCAATGTTCTGAGTGTCTGAAATGTTTTAGTCAAAAAAGAAAGTTTTGTGACACATTGAGAGTACATACAAGAGATAAACCATATCAATGTTCTGAGTGTTTGAAATGTTTTAGAAAAAAAAAGCAGTCTTTTTGACACATACACGAGTACATTCGGGGAGATAAAAACACATTAGTGTTTAAATGCTTCAAAAAATATTTTAGTTATAAACTCATCAGAATATATAAAAGGGATTACCCTAACAGTGTTGAGAGTGAATTGTTAAATGAAATGCCCAGTCATATATAAATCTTATAAGTTCATAGAGGAGATAAGTTGTTTTAAATTTTCAAATATCTTTATATTTTATAAAAGAGCAGTCTTGTGTATTAGAAGAGCTAAATAGAGTATAAACAATTATATAGAAAAATACTGTAAGGTCAAGACTTTTAATCTGCTTACTGCAGTATAAAGAATTCTGCAGTGAAATATTCAGTGAACAACACTGGATTTTTCCTGGAGAGGTTTTCCCGGGGCTCAACGCCCCCGCGGCACGGTCTGTGACCAGGCCTCCTGGTGGATCAGAGAATGATCAACCAGGCTGCTACTTCTGGCTGCACGCAATCCAATGTATGAGCCACAGCCCGGCTGGTCAGGTACCGACTTTAGGTGCTTGTCCAGTGCCTGCTTGAAGACTGCCAGGGGTCTATTGGTAATCCCCCTTATGTATGGGTGGGAGGCAGTTGAACTGTCTCGGGCCCTGACACTTATTGTATTGTCTCTTAACGTGCTAGTGACACCCCTGCTTTTCATTGGGGGGATGTTGCATTGTCTGCCATGTCTTTTGCTTTCATTGTGAGTGATTTTTGTGTGCAAGTTCGGTACTAGTCCCTCTAGGATTTTCCAGGTGTATATAATTATGTATCTCTCCCACCTGTGTTCCACGGAATACAGGTTCAGGAACTTCAAGCGCTCCCAGTAATTGAGGTGTTTTATCTCCGTTATGCGTGCCATGAAGGTTCTCTGTACATTTTCTAGGTCAGCAATTTCACCTGCCTTGAAAGGTGCTGTTAGTGTGCAGCAATATTCCAGCCTAGATAGAACAAGTGACCTGAAGAGTGTCATCATGGGCTTAGCATCCCTAGTTTTGAAGGTTCTCATTATTCATCCTGTCATTTTCCTAGCAGCTGCTATTGATAAAATGTTATGGTCCTTGAAGGTGAGATCCTCAGACATCATCACTCCCAGGTCTTTGACGTTGGTTTTTCGCTCTATTTTGTGGCCGGAATTTGTTTTGTACTCTGATGAAGTTTTAATTTCCTTGTGGTTGAACTTCATATTGTTTTCTGCAGCCCATTGAAAGATTTGGTTGATGTCTGCCTGGAGCCTTGCAGTGTCTGCAATGGAAGACACTGTCATGCAGATTCGGGTGTCATCTGCAAAGGAAGACATGGTGCTGTGGCTGACATCTTTGTCTATGTCAGATATGAGGATGAGAAACAAGATGGGAGCGAGTACTGTGCTTTGTGGAACAGAGCTTTTCACCGTAGCCTCCTCGGACTTTACTCTGTTGACTATTCTTTGTGTTCTGTTTGTGAGGAAATTATAGATCCATCTACCAACTTTTCCTGTTATTCCTATAGCACGCATTTTGTGTGCTATTATGCCATGGTCACACTTGTCGAAGGCTTTTGCAAAGTCTGTATATATTAAATCTGCATTCTTTTTGTCTTCTAGTGCATCTAGAACCTTGTTGTAGTGATTCAATATGTAAAGTAAAAGGACACAAGAGCAACTAATGTGACATTTATTGTGGCAACGTTTCGCTCTCCAGGAGCTTTATCAAGCCATTACAAACAATACATGGACACAGAGGGTATATAAAGGCTCAGAGTGAGGTGAATACTAGTGAGGTACCATTTCGATGTTCACTAGTGGTAGTAGTAGTAGTAGTAGTAGTGGTAGTGACAAAAGTAATACAATATGGTAGAGCAATTAATTCGTACATGAGTAAAAGGATATAAAAGCTATTACTTGGGTAACATAAAAATAGGTTGGACAAATATAAACTGGAATGAGGCAGCTTGTTTCAGTGTTCACTCTCTGTGCTTTGTGTAGTATAACAGGAGAGACTATGTGATGGCAGGGTTTACTGTTTTCAGGAGGATTCTTGCTAAGACTTCGGAGATGGTGAAGCTGCCGTTGTTTGTTTAATTGTATTCGAAACAGCGATCAGTGCTGATTCAAGGCACTTGCGTGTGCGGAAATTAGTTTCTTTTATCACTAATTGGGCGTCTCTGAATTTCATAAGATGATTGGTGGAATTTCGGTGTTGTACACAGGCGTGTTTAAGTTGTCGTTCCTACATGCGTATATGTGTTCATTGAGGCGGGTGTCGAGGTTTCTTGCTGTTTCACCTACGTAGATCTTGTCACAGCCTCCACAGGGTATAGTGTAAACTCCTGCATTGACTGGTTCGTGGTGCTTGGGTTTTGTCCTGGTTAGATCCTTTATTGAAGTGGTAGAAGCGATGGCGACTCTGGTGTTAGCTTGTGAAAGTACTTTGAGACGTTTAGTGCAACCTGGCTGTTGGGAAGAATTATAACTTTGTTGGGAGCGGTGTTGATGCGTGGAGAATTGATGATCTGAAGAGCTCTTTTCTTGCAGTCTTTGATGAAAAAAGAAGGAAATTGTAACTCAGTGAATGTTCGGTGAATGTAAGTACATTCCTCGTCAAGAAACTCAGGACTACAATTCGGTATGCTCTTAGGAAAAACCCGATGATGATGCCTCTTTTGGTCTTGGTATCTTGACTGGAATAGAAGTGTGTGAGATCATTTTATTGGTGGGTTTCCGATAAACTTGAAATCTATGGTTGTTGTCTACTTTGTGAATGAGGACGTCGAGGAAAGGTAGCTTGTCATTGGACTCTTCTAGTGTAAACTGAATCGCTGGTTCAACTGCGTTGAGCCTTGCCTGAAGATCCCGTACATCAAAACGTTTTGGAGTTATTACGAGGACATCGTCCACGTAACGTAACCAAGTGACGCTTGAAGGGATGATGTTGGCGAAATGTTCGGACTCTAGGTGTTCCATGTATAAGTTGGCTAGGACGGCACTTATTGGGGACCCCATTCCCATGCCGTAGGTTTGTTTGTAGAGCTTGTTATTGAAGGAAAAACAGTTGAAGTTAACACAGAGTTCAATCAAGTCAACAAAATCTCCGGGAGGTAAAGGAAGATTAAGGTCCTGGTTGACTTTACGTCGTAGAACCTCGATGGCTCTTTTTGGTAGGTACTTTTGTACCTACGTGGACGATGTCCTCGTAATAACTCCAAAACGTTTTGATGTACGGGATCTTCAGGCAAGGCTCAACGCAGTTGAACCAGCGATTCAGTTTACACTAGAAGAAGAGTCCAATGACAAGCTACCTTTCCTCGACGTCCTCATTCACAAAGTAGACAACAACCTAAGATTTCAAGTTTATCGGAAACCCACCAATAAAAATGATCTCACACACTTCTATTCCAGTCAAGATACCAAGACCAAAAGAGGTATCATCATCGGGTTTTTCCTAAGAGCATACCGAATTTGTAGTCCTGAGTTTCTTGACGAGGAATGTACTTACATTCACCAAACATTCACTGAGTTACAATTTCCTTCTTTTTTCATCAAGACTGCAAGAAAAGAGCTCTTCAGATCATCAATTCTCCACGCATCAACACCGCTCCCAACAAAGTTAAATTCTTCCCAACAGCCAGGTTGCACTAAACGTCTCAAAAGTACTTTCACAAGCTAACACCAGAGTCGCCATCGCTTCTACCACTTCAATAAAGGATCTAACCAGGACAAAACCCAAGCACCACGAACCAGTCAATGCAGGAGTTTACACTATACCCTGTGGAGGCTGTGACAAGATCTACGTAGGTGAAACAGCAAGAAACCTCGACACCCGCCTCAATGAACACATATACGCATGTAGGAACGACAACTTAAACAACGCCTGTGTACAACACCGAAATTCCACCAATCATCTTATGAAATTCAGAGACGCCCAATTAGTGATAAAAGAAACTAATTTCCGCACACGCAAGTGCCTTGAATCAGCACTGATCGCTGTTTCGAATACAATTAAACAAAACAACGGCAGCTTCACCACCTCCGAAGTCTTAGCAAGAATCCTCCTGAAAACAGTAAACCCTGCCATCACATAGTCTCTCCTGTTATACTACACAAAGCACAGAGAGTGAACACTGAAACAAGCTGCCTCATTCCAGTTTATATTTGTCCAACCTATTTTTATGTTACCCAAGTAATAGCTTTTATATCCTTTTACTCATGTACGAATTAATTGCTCTACCATATTGTATTACTTTTGTCACTACCACTACTACTACTACTACTACTACCACTAGTGAACATCGAAATGGTACCTCACTAGTATTCACCTCACTCTGAGCCTTTATATACCCTCTGTGTCCATGTATTGTTTGTAATGGCTTGATAAAGCTCCTGGAGAGCGAAACGTTGCCACAATAAATGTCACATTAGTTGCTCTTGTGTCCTTTTACTTTACATATTGTCGGTAATTCTACCAACTTTATTACAGTGATTCAATAGTTGAGACAGACAGGAGCGACCTATTCTAAACCCATGTTGCCCTGGGTTGTGTAATTGATGGGTTTCTAGATGGGTGGCGATCTTGCTTCTTAGGACCCTTTCAAAGATTTTTATGAGATGGGATGTTAGTGCTATCGGTCTGTAGTTCTTTGCTATTGCTTTACTGTCCCCTTTGTGGAGTGGGGCTTTGTCTATTGTTTTTAGTAACTGTGGGATGACCCCAGTGTCCATGCTCCCTCTCCATAGGATGGTAAAAGCTCGTGATAGGGGCTTCTTGCAGTTCTTGATGAACACGGAGTTCCATGAGTCTGGTCCTGGGGCAGAGTGCATGGGCATGTCATTTATTGCCTGTTCGAAGTCATTTGGCATCAGGATAACATCAGATAGGCTTGTGTTAACCAAATTCTGTGGCTCTCTCATAAAAAATTGATTTTGATCTTTGACTCTCAGTCTGGTTAGTGAAATATGAGAAGCCAATAAATGAGCAGTGCAGTGGACCCTCGACCAGCGATGGCATCGATTAATGATAAATCCGACTAGCGATACGTTTTAACGTAAAAATTTTGCCTCGACTAGCGCTAAAAAACCCGACCAATGCTATTCATTACATTCGAGATGCATCCATTTTGGACTGAGCGCGCCTCACTTGTCCCATGGGTGCCAGTGTTTACAAGCCAGCCAGCCACTGCGGTCACTTCCAAACATACAATTGGAACATTTCATATTATCACAGCCTTTGTAGTGATTGCACCTGCAAAATAAGTGACCATGGGCCCCAAGAAAGCTTCTAGTGCCAACCCTACAGCAAAAAGGGTGAGAATTACTATGGAGATGAAGAAAGAGATCATTGCTAAGTATGAAAGTGGGGTGCGTGTCTCCGATCTGGTCAGGTTGCATAGTAAACCCCAATCAACCATCGCTACTATTGTGGGCAAGAAAACGGCAATCAAGGAAGCTGTTCTTGCCAAAGGTGCAACTATGTTTTCGAAACTTAGATTGCAAGTGATAGAAGATGTTGAGAGACTGTTATTGGTGTGGATAAACGAAAAACAGATAGCATCTCTCAAGCAATCATATGTGAAAAGGCTAGGAAGTTGCATGATGATTTAATTAAAAAAATGCCAGCAACTAGTGGTGATGTGAGTGAATTTAAGGCCAGCAAAGGTTGGTTTGAGAGATTTAAGAAGCATAGTGGCATTCATAGTGTGATAAGGCATGGTGAGGCTGCCAGTTCGGACCACAAAGCGGCTGAAAAATATGTGCAGGAATTCAAGGAGTACATAGACACTGAAGAATTAAAACCTGAACAAGTGTTTAATTGTGACGAAACAGGCCTGTTTTGGAAGAAAATGCCAAGCAGGACGTACATTACTCAGGAGGAAAAGGCACTCCCAGGACATAAGTCTATGAAAGACAGGCTTACTCTGTTGATGTGTGCCAATGCTAGTGGTGATTGCAAAGTGAAGCCTTTATTGGTGTATCACTCTGAAGCTCCCAGAGTGTTCAGGAAAAACAATGTCATCAAGGCTAATTTGTGTGCTGTGGAGGGCAAACAGTAAGGCATGGGTCACTAGGGACTTTTTCTATGACTGGTTACACCATGCATTTACCCCCACTGTGAAAAATTACCTAGTTGAAAAGAAATTAGACCTTAAGTGCCTCCTGGTATTAGACAATGCTCCTGGTCATCCTTCAGACTTGGCAGAGCGACTTTCTAGGGACATGAGCTTCATTAAGGTGAAGTTTTTGCCTCCTAATACCACTCCTCTCCCTGCAGCCCATGGACCAGCAGGTCATTTCCAACTTCAAGAAACTGTACACAAAAGCTATGTTTGAAAGGTGCTTTGTAGTGACCTCAGAAACTCAACTGACTCTAAGAGAGTTTTGGAAAGATCACTTTAGCATCCTCAATTGTGTAAACATTATAGGTAAGGCTTGGGAGGAAGTGACTAAGAGGACCTTGAACTCTGCTTGGAAAAAACTGTGGCCAGAATGTGTAGACAAAAGGTATTTTGAAGGGTGTGAGGCTAACCCTGAGAATCCTAAGCCAGTTGAGGAATCCATTGTGGCATAGGAGGTTAGTGGGGAGGATGTGGAAGAGTTGGTGGAGGAGGACAATGAAGAACTAACCACTGATGAGCTGCTAGATCATCTTCATCAGCATGATGCCACACCTGAGGAAACTGCTTCGGAGGAGGGGATAGAGAAATTTAAGAAGTTGCCTACTTCTAAGATTAAGGAAATCTGTGCAATGTGGCTTAAAGTGCAAACCTTTATGGATGATAATCACCCTGACACAGCTACTGCAAGCCGTGTTGGCAACCTGTACACTGACAATGTTGTGAAACACTTTAGAAATGTCATAAAGGAACTGGAGGTACAGACCTCTATGGACAGATATGTTGTGTTACAGAAGTCCAGTGACTCTGAAGCTGGTCCTAATGGCATTAAAAGAACAAGGGAAGTAACCCCGGAAAAAGACTTGCTACCTCAAGTCCTAATGGAAGGGGATTCCCCTTCTAAACACTAAGAAGATCAACACTCTCCCCTCCTCCCATCCCATCAATCATCACCATATCTTCAATAAAGGTAAGTGTCATGTAACTGTGCATGTCTTCTTCAGTTTGTGTGTATTAAAATTAATATTTCATGTGGTAAAATTTTTTTTTTCAATACTTTGGGGTGTCCTGCACGGATTAATTTGATTTCCATTATTTCTTATGGGGAAAATTAACTCGACTAACGATAATTTTGATTAACGATGAGCTCTCAGGAACGGATTAATATTGCTGGCAGAGGGTCCACTGTACTAAGCTACTTATGACAGCTCAGTGTCTTGCATCTGCCACGAGAACATTCTATGGAACCATTAGTTAAGACACATATGCAACAGTTAGGTATCTTTATTTTGAAACGTTTCGCCTACACAGCAGGCTTCTTCAGTCAAGTACAGAAAAGTTGATAGAAGCAGAAGAGACTTGAAGACGATGTAATCAGTCTATCACCCTTAAAGTTTTGAGGTGGTCAGTCCCTCAGTCTGGAGAAGAGTATTGTTCTATAGTCTGAAACAATATGGAGTTGAAGTGACAGTATAGAGCCTTATATACCGCCAGGAGGTGAGATGAAGGCCACTAGTAGAGGGTTGAATGTGGTCGTTGGAAGGTCACGTCCCTCTCATATCCAGCCATTCTCACTAGTTGAAGTTGTCCAAGTTGTTGTTCTGTACCAAGATACCCTTGTGCTGCAGTGTCTGACAGAGTCAACATCGAAATGGCTGGATTTGAGAGGGACATGACCTCCCAACGACCACATTCTTACCTCTACTAGTGGCCTTCATCTCACTTCCTGGTGGTATATAAGGCTCCATACTGTCACTTCAACTCCATATTGTTTCAAACTATGGAACAATACTCTACTCCAGACTGAGGGACTGACCACCTCAAAACTTTAAGAGTGATGGACTGATTACATCGTCTTCAAGTCTCTTCTGCTTCTATCAACTTTTCTGTACTCGACTGAAGAAGCCTACTGTGTAGGTGAAATGTTTCGAAATAAAGATACCTAACTGTTGCATATGACCATATGACCTGTCTTTGTAATACTCATTTGTACTAAATTGTTATATGTTTTGCAATAATTTTTGTGCCACTGAATATATCATTGCTTAGTTAATCTTAAGTTAATTTTAAGCCTGCCCATAATGCTCAGCATACAAGGGGCTTTGGCATGCTGCACTTGAAAAATTGTATTCCTTGTACTTCTCTGTATCATGTTCAAATTAATAAATAAAAAAAAAAAATGTGTCTTACCTAACAACCTTTCGGTATTTTATACCATTTCAATGTTCATTCTATGGAGCCATCAATGTTACTGCCCTTGGGCTGTGGGAATTAAATAATTGTAAAAACAATTGCACCAAAGGAGCATTATATCAACATTTCATGTTAATACTGAAATGATGATTTCTTACTTTTTTGGGCTCAATGGCCCTTCAGTGATGAGTTAATAAGGGCAATTCCAGATAAGGCATGAACTAGCTATTTGCTGTGCAGCTTACCTAACTAGGTTCATAACTTGCTAGACATGCCTGAGTATTGTATCAGACCCACAACTTTATCCCTGGCTTTTGGCATGGATGAAACCTCGTGTTGGTGTCTTGATTGAAGCAGAAGTGTCCCTTGAGGAATGTCACACTTGCACTGTTAAACTACTATTCTTCAAGATTTGTCTTTTACTTCGTGGTAATTTTGCAATAGTTCTAGCATGAATTTCCACTTGCATAAGTGGTATACAGTCTGTTCTTTGCATCTCTCTCCTTCTCGGACATTATCTATCCTGGATGTTGCCTTTCTTGTTTCGTCCTTACTGCCACCACTTCTGTTACTTGGTGATTTTAATGCCCATCATTTCCTCTGGGGAGGGTCTCACTGTGATTCCCATGGCATTCAGTTGAAGGCTTTTCTCACTTCTCACCCCCTCCATGTTTTAAATACAGGTACTCCCACCCATTTTGATCATCGTACTCATACTGTCTATTGCATTGATCTCTTGGTCTGCACTTCCTCCACTACACTAGACTTCACCTGGTCTGTTCTCCCGGGCTTGCATGACAGTGATCATTGTCCAATAATTCTTACTTCTCCTTCATATTCACCACCTTTTTGTAGTCCACACTGGCAGTTTTATCAAACAAATTGGGGCCTTCACTCGCATCTAACTGCTTTTAGTGACGTTCCTTCTTCATCCTCCATTGATGAGATTTTACACCTCGACCTCAGTTTTAATCACAGCTTCTCATTCTATACCCCAAACCTCAGGCAGGCATTCTCAGAAGTGTGTGCCTTGGTGGTCTTCTGCTTGTGCTTGAGCAGTATGTTTGAAATGTGCTGTGTGGGGCAGGTACTGGTACAATAGAGCTACTGAGAGACTTCTAGATTTTAAGCAGAAGCGTGTGGTCACTCGCCGTGTCATCCGTGACACTAAACACACTTGCTGGTGAGATTGTTTCCACCATAACCTCTGCTTCCTCTATGAGTACAGTCTGGAAAAAAGTATGGAAACTGAGTGGTAAATTCTCTCCTAACTCAGCTTCTGTTCTGCGGGTTGCCAGTGTTGATATAGCAAACCCTCTTGACGTTGCCATTGAAACTGGTAATCATCTGATCTGTATTTCTCATAGGCTCCAACTATGCCCCTCGTTTCTTTCCTCAAAGTCTGCCAGAGAGTTGGTGCCCATAGACTTTTCTTCTCTCAAAGAAGAATCATATAATATGCCTTTTACACTTCAGAAACTGGAGACGACTGTTATGCAGGGTTCTGCATGACATTGTAATGTTGTTATGCACGGTTCTGCATAACATTGTAATGTATATATAGTAGAGAAAGGTGTCATAATAGTAGGAATGTTATAATTGTAAAGCATAATTTTATAATTCATATGGTGCTTTTGGTGGTACTGTAAAGTAGGCTAAACTATAATTATAAAGAAATCCTGCTAGGTATTTATTTTCCAAGAGTGTTTGGGTATGCGGGGTAAGCGTGGCTGGGAGTCAAGTGGAGTCAGCATGGCATGGAGGCTGGCATCAGAGATGCTGTGTATTTAAGCTAAGTTTATAGTTGTGTACTCCTTTTGTTTAACTAACCTAACCTCTTCAAAGGGGGCTCCTTGGCATGGTGAAGAGGCTCTTGGTCTGAGGAATTAGACCTGTTGGTCTCCTTCCTCATACCGAACCTAATTATCCCCCAATCCCCCCTCCCTTATCCCATCCTCCCTTTTTCTTTTCCTCCTCCTCCTCCCCACCCCTCCTTATCACCCTTCCTCTTTTTGGCCTTTTTTTTTTTCACAGGCATGCTAGTTAATGGTTAGGGCAAAGGGTACTGGGGTCCATCCCATTCTGTTGAGGTTCTTGGCAGTGGTGCAGTTTGCCATGGAATCTGGATCGCCTGGGGATGTCCCAATCCCTCTCCGGTCTCCCAGGGAGTGGCTTTGGGTGTCTTTCGGACGACGGGTGTATCTCTGGAGGCTGCCTTTCGGATTCCGGGGATGGTGGCCAAAGGAGGTATGCTTTGTGGCAGATATCCAGCTGCCCTCTCCTTTGTCCACCGAGGTAGCTCGGCAGATGTGAGGTTGCTATCCTGGATTGCTGGTTTACTGGCATGATGGGTAGAGTATGGCATGGGTTCCATGCTGCATCTGCACTACTTGTGGTGCTGAGGTCCTCTTGGGCATGGAGGGAGATTTCTGGCCCTTTCATTCCTCCCAGGAACTATCCCTCCTCAGTCCCCCCTTTTTTTTATTTTTTTTTATTTTTATTTTCTGTTCTTTTTTTTTTTCTTAAAAACAAAAAGAAAGAAGTAACCTAACCATGGAAGCCCTAGTCCATGAACCTGCTACCCCCGGGCCCCTTGTTGATACCGCACCCCGTTCTGACCCCGCCTCGTCTTTGGACCACTCTTCAGACACTCCTAATGCCTCTGTACCTCTTGTGCTGTTTCCTCACCCGCTTCAGGTACTGAGGTCTCGACTGACTCCTTCGATTTATTTGACCTCCGCTCTCCTTTGACTATGCTTCCGGCCTCTCCCTCTATGGTGCGGCAATTTTTGAATCGCAAGCCCGTTCCACGTCGGACCAACTCCAGTCCTTCTCCTAAACACACACGACAATTACCTGCTGATGATACTTCTCCACCTTTTCGTTCTTCTCAGAAATCAACATGTCATGCACTCCCTTTCCACGCTCAGTTTCAGAATGCATAATTGTCTAAATTCTTCACTTTATGACTGACTTCCTCTATTGCCTATCTTTCTGACCATAGTATTGGCAAGGCACTCCTATGCCATGTTGGTAAAGATATTTCTTTTCATGCTCTTAAGAGTGGTACACGCATCATCACTATCCAGAATGCTACCCAAGCTCATGATCTTTCTCTTCTTTCACATATTGATACTATTCCTGCCACTATTGAAAAACATCATTCCCTCAATTCTTGTAGTGGTACTGCCATTCTGCCCCATACCATAGTTCAACAAAATTTCCAGACATGTGGCAATGACATTCTTGAACAGCTGGAACTCCAAGATCTCCCAATCCTCAAGGTAGACACTTATGTTCTTCCTGCCCGCGGACGGAGACGATACCCTAGCAATGTGGCTCGTTTAACTTTAGACAGCCGTGAGATCCCATCCTCAGTTTATGTAGCAGGACATCGGTTACAAGTTCGAAAGGTGATCCCTACATTGCAACAGTGTAGAAATTGCTGGCGATTTGGCCATCGAGCTAAATATTGCAGATCTATAGCCGAATGCCCAGTCTGTGGTGCTGATGACCATTCTAATACGTCTTGCAATTGACCTCCCTCTTGCCTTAATTGTCATGAGGCTCACCCTTCGTACTCTCGCCATTGCCAAGTCTACTTAAATGAGCGGGAAATCCGTTACCTGAAAGAGGCAGAAGGTCTCCCTTATGCTATGGCGGTTTCTCATCTCTGCCTCCAAGGGAGACTACCCCGTGTTTCTTATTCCCGTGTTTCAAAACATCCCTTCACTTCTGGAGTCCCATCTTCTGCAGCCTCCTCTGTGGTTACCTCTCCCATAGTCACTCCTGTATCTAATTCTTTTACTGTCCTGGGCTCAGATGTCCCTACTTCAATGCCTCAGTCTGTTCTCCCTCACAAGCCTCGGTATCGACGAGATCTCGTACGACACCTCCCAATTGTCCCTCTACTTCACAGAAGTCAAAAAAAGCACCTTTAACCACTCCTTCCCTTCTTCCCCCTCCTCATTTTACCTTCCCAGTCTCTGTAACTGGTTCTTCCCCTCTCACTGGCTCTGTTAAAAGTGTAGAGGTTCACCCTCCTCCTCATACTGTACCTTCCTCCCCTGTTCCCTCCCATGTTTCTTCCTCTTCTGCCACCTTCCAGGTTTCTGCCTCATCTGTTCCCCTCCACGCTTCTTCTCCAGTTCCCTCGACCCTTTCGCCCCCCCCCTACCTTGGTACAGTCCATTACAGTTCCAATCTTTACTCATCCTACCCCTTCCATCTCCAATATTGTCTCCCATTCGACGTCTTTGAATTCCGAAACACTTGAAGCAATCTCTGAATATATTGCAGAGACCAAACTATCAATGGACACTGATCCACCCTCTGTTCCTTCTCTCTCCTCTCCTCCATCTGCACAACTCCTTTCTTTGCAGCGCACTGTTCCTTCGCAGCTTGAATGTTTTCTGCTGCCATCACATGTGGACTTTTCTGAGCCCTCTAGTTCGTAGGAACCCTTGCCTGCAGATTTCAGGTATCTTTATCGTTGCCAATCATGGCCTATTTACAGTGGAATATACGCGGTTTCAGGGGTAAATCGGTGTGAGCTTCAGATGTTGCTCTCCCAGTTTTCCCCTGTTGGTGTTTGCTTGCACTCTGCTGTTATCTATCCCATCTCAGGCTATAATTTATTGTATTCTTCAGATCCTTTTCCTGATGGGACCTTTAATGAAAGTTCCCTTCTTCTATGCACTGATATTCCGTACCATCAGCTATTTGTTCGTACTTCGCTGCATTACACAGCATCCCGTATCCACCTGCATAGGTGGTATATGCTCTGTTCTTTATACACGTATCTCTCTCCTTCTCGGGCATTATCTATCCCGGATATTGTTTTTCTTGTTTCGTCATTACCGCCACCACGTCGGTTACTTGGCGATTTTAATGCCCATCATTTCCTCTGGGGGGGTCTCACTGTGATTCCCGTGGCATTCAGTTAGAGGCTTTTCTTGCTACCTACCCCCTCCATGCTTTAAATACAGGTACTCACACCCATTTTGATCCTAGGACTCTCACTCTCTCTTGCATCAATCTCTCAGTCTGCTCTTCCTCCACCGCATTAGACTTCACCTGGTCTGTTCTCCCAGATTTACATGACAGCGTTCATTTCCCAATCATTCTTTCTTCCCCTTCATATTCACCACCTCTTCGTAACCCACGCTGGCAATTTGATCAGGCAAATTGGAACCTTTACTCTCAACTAATTGTTTTTAGTGAGGTTCCTTCTTCGTCCTCCATCGATGAGCTTTTACACCTCTTCTCATCCTCCGTTTTAACCTGTGTGGTCACTCGCCATGTGATCCCTGACACTAAACGCACTTGCAGGCAAGATTATGTCTCCACCATCACCTCTGCTTCCTCTATGAGTGCAGTCTGGAAAAAAAGTACGAAAACTGAGTGGTAAATATTCTCCTGACCCGGCTCCTGTTCTGCAGGTTGCTGGTGTTGATATAGCAAACCCACTAGATGTTGCCAATGAATTTGGCAATCATCTGGTCTGTATTTCTCAGGGGCTCCATCATTGCCCCTCGTTTTCTTTCCTCAAAGTCTGCCAGAGAGTTAGCACCCTTGGACTTTTCTTCTCTCATAGAAGAAGAGTATAATGTGCCTTTTACACTTCAGGAACTGGATGCAACACTCTCAGCTTGTTGATCATCGGCAATGCCAGACGACATTCATATTCATATGCTACAACATTTACATTAGTCAGCCCTTGCAGTCCTATTATGCCTTTTCAATCTTATTTGGTCACATGGAGTGCTTCCGCAGCGGCAGCAGCGACTTCCAAGCTCCGTACTTTTCTCCAACTACCAGAGCTACCAATGCTCCTATGATGACCTAGTTACAAGCAAAACTGCACTACCCAACGTAGCACCCAGAATGACCAAAGATTACCAACAGTGAAACCTACAAATCGAAAATAATAGAGATCAAAGGAAGACTGCACACAAACCGAAAGCAACACCCCGCTGCCAGCCGAACAACGTAACCCTAAGCTTTGTATACTACAACTTCTTTAACTACAACAATTCCTGTAGTATTATGAGGCGCAATCTAAGAGGAAACAGCACCAAGGCCAGCAAGAAAACACCGAAAAATCAACTATTCAACAAGTGTAGCCAGGAGGACGCCGGCTCAGCAACCACCCCACTCACCACCACTCAAGGTGACACCACAACAATAACAACAAACATGGCTGCCACCAGCCCATCCTCCCCT